GTTAAAAAAACATAAACTAATGCATAGAATAAGTTTTTACTGCCACTTGCAATCTATCGCATATATAATTTTTATGTTGTTATAATATTGACATTATTTCATATTTAGTTTATCATTCATCAGTATAATATAATGTATATACCCCAGTGAACTTTGTAAATAAATAATATATGCTTAATTAAATATAATGTTATTTTTATGTAGGTTTATATATTATATGCAAGTGGCAGGATTTTGTTTTCAAAAAATTGATATTATATATTGCGTAATTGTCCAGTGCACTCAGAAGGCCTTTCGAATGTGAGCATTGGTATAACACAATTAGAAAATCAGCTTTAGTTTTTGTTGCTTATTTCAGCACAGCTTAGGCTAGTTTTTTATATATCTGTATATCTAGTCATAATATATGAAAATATATATTAATAGGTTTGCACTGTTAGCAAGCATGTTTTCAAGTAAAATAAAAATATATATATCAATCAATATTTATTTTAAATCTGAACTCAATAAACGCTTCTTTGAAATATTATTACAAAATAAATATAAATAATAACATATATTACTTGATTATAATTATATTATTTTTTAAATATTTTTATCTCTTTTATTTTTAATATATATAATTGTTATAAACTAACATTTTGTCATTTTTTAAAACATGCAAGCATGAATTAAAATTAAACAAGATTAGCTTGTGATAGTATTTTATCTGATTTTTATTTTATTTATTCAGCTAGCATGATAGAACGAGCTAGACAACAATTATATTGTAAGAACATCAAAAGAAATTTAATTTTTTACCTCATGATAATATGACACATGATGTCTATGTATTAAAAAATTTATTTTTCTTTTTTTTTACGAACACATTATTATTCGATGATAAAAAATATATGAATATATTAAAAATAACATTTCTCATTTTTACAGTAACTATATTGGATAAGAATAATTCCCATAAATTAAATCCAAGTGGTAACAATCAAATTTCTAAAGACGAAGAGCGTGAAATAGAATTGAATTCTTTAAGACAAACAAGTAAACAACTGAAATCTGATAACGAAGAGCTCAAACGACGTCTTGGAACTTTAGAAAAACTTTCGGAAGAAAATGCAAAATTATTACGTATAAAGGATGAATCAGATATGATTAAAACTCATTACAATTCTGCGCAAGAGAATATCGCACTACTTATTAAAGAAAAACAAGTATTACGAGAAACAATAACGGAGCTTCAAAATCAAATTATGGGTAATGGACCAGGAGGTAGTAATAGAACATCATGGTCTATTAAGAGATAGCATACTGGCTGTTTTAATTGTTCTAAATGTTGCAGTTCTGGTAAATCATGAGTTTTATTATTATATTCGAGATATATATATATCTCTTTATTTTTTTTTATAATGTGAGAAATGCATATAGTGATTTTCAAAAATAGTTTGTAGGTCTTTGTTATATATATATTATATTTTTTTATTTTATATTAAACAAAAAAGAGAAAAAAAAGACAAACAAACAAACAGGAAGAGTACATGAACTTTTATATTTTTAGTTCCTCAAAAGGCTATAATCTCCTATTGATTGCAATCAGAGCCATAAACAGATCTGTGTTTGTCCCAGATTATGATGATAGGAATGTTTCTTCCAGAATGTGGCTTTACTTGTAACTATAATTATTGTAATTGTACTATATTTATCTGCCATATATAATGCTAGTAACTGCCGTTTATTTTAAATGCAGGATGATAAAATGAGGCAGTAAGTATATATATATGTCTAATCATATATGAAATGTCATATTTGCTTTTATACAAAAAGGGGAAAGTGATCGTAATAATTAATGTCTCTTTGGCATTTTTATTAAATGAAAAGATAATGGAAGATATCTATATATATGTATACGTAATGTGAATATATTTTATGTTTATAGATATAATCAAATATACGTTTCATAGTAAAATTATTATTTACAAGGAATTGTAATTAAACAAAAGTATTGTAAGGTTTATTGAATGATTATATATCCTTGCAATTTTGGTTTAAATTAACTGAATAGTAAATATTTTTTTTGATATTATATATCGTTTGTTTATATTTTACTTTTTTTTTTATACAACAATAGTAACATTTTCTCTAGTGCAATATAGTTGGTATAGATAAAATTTTATTGTAATTTATAAATGTACTATATTAAATTGATATAAATATTGTATTTCATTTAGATTAGAAATATATCTTTTCTTTTTTATAATATTTAAATTAATATGCATCAAGCAATGAAAACTAAAGATAATATCTTAAAATACGATAATTCCAGATGCCCAAAAGACTGTTTAATATTTACAAAATTTTCTATATTACTTCTTATTCTATTTAAAAAATATTAGATGAGGATAAATATAAGTTATATTTCTAAGGTTCGTAATATCCAGTTTAAAATGTTACTTTTTAATGTTTCGTAGATGTGTTATATGCGTATCTGTAATAAAGTAGTAAACTGTGTTCAACTATAGAAATGTTAATATATGTATATACATATGTTTTGGGATTTTTGTTAGTTTTTATTTGTGTTTTTATGCAAGTTTTGAAATAGATTGCTGGTCAATCCCTGATAAGAAAGTAATAATATATTTTTCTAGCGAAGCAGTAATAAGAAAAGTAGTTGGAAAACATTTTATTTCATACATAAATACAAATTTTCTTTGTCTTTCTTTAAGCTATTAAAATAAATCTATATTATGTATATGCATAAAATACAGAAAAAATTTATAATTTAGAAATGTTTTTTTATTTTTAATTATATGTATGTATATACATATATATACATATATTTCAAAGTACATATCAACTATTACAAAATTCATTTATTTCAAATGTTTAACATGCTTAGTACATTGAAATCATAAATATTTTATGTAATTTGCAACATAAATGTTGTAACACCATATTAAGAAAGATACGAAAATAAAATACACTTTTAGATTTGATTTTTAAAATTATGATTGTTTGCAAATAATGTCATTAATAATTGTATATATCATATTAAAAGAAAAATGTAAATGTACTTTTAAATTCAGTTTTACGAGTTAGGTTTTACTATGCAATTACGTTATAAGAAAAATAATTAGAAATGTGTGTGTATATTTATGCTTAAAATTGCATATACATAAATTTACACACTTGGAAATCTTCTACTATTTCGACCTATATTTTAATGTATACATAACATGTACAATAATACAAAATAGTCAGAGAGTGGTATAGTGATTTATATAGTAATTTATATACATATAAAAATTAATCTATAATATAGATTATTGTGAGTGCAATATGAAATCAGTCCATTGGGAATGCTTGGAAATACTTATAATTTGATAAATGTAATAATAATATTCTGTAATAACTGTTTTCCTTTCGTTATATATAGTATATTCGATGTGATACAATTGTACCTATATAATTTCATTAATATTTTTAACGAATTATTTTATATTAACTATACTATACAAAAATGATTTCTTCCATATGATTTGATAATGAATTTTAATTAATATTCATATAGTTTAATAATTCTGAGCATTCAGTCTGCGTAATATCGTTTTGACAATATTTTTTACTGTAGTAAGAGGTCTAATAATTTTTGAAATTTATTCAATACGTATTATCAGAGTTAGTGAACGCATAGTTTTAATTTTATATTTTTAGAATTATTATATTCATGCCTTATCCATCTCATTGACTGTTATTTATTTCGAATAATATTATAATCGGAATGATTATATTGCCCATTTTAAAATAGTGATGAGACATTGATGAGGGAAAAAGTCGATACTGTTTTTAAATATGATTGTACATTCAAATGATTACATCAATGAAGGAATCTTAGATTAATTTGTAATAATTGATTAGAACATTCAATGTGCTTAGATATTGTACATACAGTCATTAATCTATTTTATGCTACAGAAATTGAATTAGAAAGGTTGTATACTAGCGAGTGATTGTTTATTGTTTATAGTTGTTTCAGAGCCATAGTAAAGTAGCCATCCTAAATAATATATATATACATATATATAAATATGTATGTATGTATGAATATCTAATTTACATAGTATATCTTTAAATAAAAGTATGTTTCGTAAATTGATATCTTGCATTAGTTTAAAAATATGTTAATGCAAAATAATGTCAAGATATCTACAGCCATAATTTACGAAATGTATTGTTTTACACAAATTTGAAAACAAAAAAAATATATATATATATATATATATAATAACTAACTTAAGATAATTTCAATGAAAATATTAATCAAATTCCAAGAGTATGTTACGTGGTATCAATTCATGCGCCAAAATAGAATAATACATGGCTTTGTTTAGACCGCTATTATTATCATCAAATAATATTATTATGTTATTACTTTTTTGTAGGGTAAAAAGTGGAATTACTTTCGCATAAACAAAAAAGAAAAAACAAAAAATAATGTATATTATTATCAGTCCTAAAATAGTGTAAGGTAATATATATTTACTTAACGTTCAAAGTGGTTTGTGTCAAATGGTTTTTACGAAGCTTTCATATTCACACTGCTTTTGTTATATTTGTGTACTTTAATGCACTTAAGAATCACTTGGTTATTATGACATAATATATATTTAAGAAAAGGGACATTTTTAAAGTGACGATAATGTAAAGTTGTTTGAAGTTTTAAAGGCATAATAAAGAGAATAAAAAAATAATAAAAAAAAAATAAAAAATAATAATAATACAAATAAAACCAAGAAACTACTGACAATGAAATGTCGATAATACTATAACCTACACTTTCCTATTAAAAATATATCAAATAAACGTAGAGTTTATTAAAATAATGTATAACATATTGTGATTCTTTATAAAACGTAATGATTTTATAGAAATTTTCATGAAAACGTATTTGATTTACCCGCCAAAACAGATCGGACATGTCGAGTAAGTTCGGAACTATTCGTTGCGCGCATCCATCAGCGCCCAGGCGACAGAGTTGTACGGTCGAAATTGACTACCCGAATCGGTGTGTGTGATTTGTGTGTCGGTTACAGCAAGGAGGCAAAAAAGAACTCACGAGGAGTATTATAAGCAACGTAAGTATTAGAATAGCTTTGTAAACATTTAGAAAAAAGATAAATATAAGTATGAAAAACATCAACGACTATCGAAACTGTTAAATTCAAATCTAACCCCAGTAAGATTACAACTGCTGTATGTTCAGCACGAAAGCACAGAAGTTTGAGAATCATGTTTCGTACTAAATGGTAACATTATTGTATCCGATATCTTTTAAATTTTAATTTTGATTCCTTTATTTGGTTATTCATTAGCAGACAGAAGTTATAACGATTTGATTTTGATTTGTTTTCTAGCAAAGAACACGATCACTCATCGTTTTATCGGTTCTTGCAAATGGAGCACAGTCATAAGAACACTGATTGCTACTTTTTCTATTATTCTACATGCAAAAAGGTAAGTTCACTTTTTCATCCCTTTTAAACTAATAATTATCATATTTCATAGTATCATAGTTAAAAAAGAGTACTTTTTCGATTGTTCTCCCATATTGCTTAACTTTCGTAAACCTCGCAAGGTTAGGTCGGCCATGTTGAAGCCATATTGTGTGATACTTCCCTTTCGCAAAATTCCTCTTCTTTTATATTTTTTTTTATTTATTCGATATTTAAACCAAGTATACTGTTTTTCATTCGTTTATTGTAAGATCAATAGTTAAAATGTAGCGTAAAACATGATCGATTGCGATCGTTGCACTGTACTTATTTCACGAATTATCAAGTATATTTAAATGTTGAACTATTTTATTGTTCAATTAAGAGTAGATGAAGTATAATAATAATAACAATAATAATATTATTAATGATGATAATAATAATAATAATAATAATATTTACAGGAATATAGGATTTTTATAACATTTCAGATATTTAATAATTAACAATATTTTTTCTTAATGTAATATAATTGTCAGGTATTGGTAAACTGTTAATTAATACAATGATAATCATCATACAATAAACAAGAAATAGCTAGATTATCATTTTGCTTTCAGTATATAATTTTTGAGTACTGTAAGCATTTATAAATGTATATATATATATATATATATATATATATCATATATATACGTATATACTTTATATATATATATATATAAAGGATTATAAATAAGAGATATATAAATTGTATTATTGTTCATGAAATATTTAGCTATTTCATTTATTTTATATTATCTTGTATTTCACAGGGTGATCTCTGTCCATTTCGACATGAACCATCTGCTTTGGGTTGCGAAACAATGTGCTCCTATTGGCAGCAGGGGAATTGCCTTAACGAGCATTGTAGCTTTAGGCATATGGAATTGAAAGTAAGCATGTATTATTTTAAAATTTCCATTGGTTCATTAAGTAGTAATTGTTATTCTTCTAGTACTTTTTTACCCTGTATAGAATATTATTAATTTGTTTGCTTGATATTTAGAAAAACCGCAAATCAATTCCATGCTATTGGGAGACACAACCTAGTGGATGCAGGAAACCGCATTGTCCCTTCCTTCACAAGAATGTCCGAGCTATATATGATCCGATTAATCCAGTCAAAGCAACTGAAGTGACGTCAAAACCCATTAATCAGGATTGGGTGAATCGTCAAGGTGAGTTTAATGTCTTGGAAATATTGGTGATACTTATTATCTTTATAGGTTATTAATGTAGGTTAAGTTTAATTGTATTAACTTTTACAGATGATGCAAAGTACGACACAAGCAGTGCAGAATCAGATCAAGGTAGGGGAAGCAGTGAAGCTGGCAGTTTCATTGGTAGTCCAGCCGTCGATCCTCTTATCGTCAAATTTGGAGAAGGTATGAGGCTTTACTAGCCCCCCCGTCCATCTTTCAATGTACATTATCTTACACCAGGTACTCTCTCCCTTCCATCCAGCCTGCAGACAAATTTGAATCTCCCAAACGCGCTCAGCATTCCAAACAATCTGACAATCCCGAACAACGTTCCTAATAGTCTTGGCATTCCTAGTAACATCACTGTTACAAATAATCTGAATGTACAACAGCCATCGGTACAGAATTCGCAGCCTTCTCCTTGTCATCACGCGTTAACTTATCCACATCAACCAAATTTACATTCTCATTCTCCTGGTCAATCTTTATCCCCTCTACAAAACCAACAAAATTCTTCGCTTCTTCAACAAACGTCGTTTTCACCAATACATACGCAGCAAACTCCTCAGCCTCAAACATCAAGATTCCCCTTTCCATTTGTCGGTATTACATCATATAGAAGGTTTTAAAAGCTGTTAAAGTGTATAGATAACAGCATTATGGGTCGGTTTTCTTACTCATTGGTTTAACAGCAAAATAATATTTTCTCTAATCATATAACAAATTATATCCATTATCAGATATTTGTGTTTTTCATTTATGAATTAATTCATATATATATCAACACACACGTATACACACACACGGAGATGGAAAACGAAATAATATTAATAATAATAATAATAATAATAATAACAATAAAAATAAAAGTAATAAATAATAAATAATAAATATTAATAACGAGAAAATATTTTTTTGCTACCAATGATCGATATTAATAATAATAAGTATATTCGTTTTTTCGTGGCAAAAGATAAGAAAGAATTTTGTGTCAATTCTATATGATAATTTTTCTCATTAAGATATTATAATCAAACTAATTGACATAGAAAAACAACAATTCTGACAATTCTATCGAATTATTGATTTTTGACAAATTCTGTAAAAGCAATAGCACTTTTCTGAGAGAAAGTACAACGTTCGTAAAAGAATCGTATTGTATCGCATTAGGGCAAGCGTTCAAAGTATTTGGCGGATGTCATAGCATCAGAGTTGATGCCAATTGACGATGCCAACTCTTTGTAAACGTTTCTTAACGTATGTTTTTCATTTTGCTTTTCAATAATAAAGACCAGATTGCGCAAATTTATATTAGTACAATTAATAATAAATAATTAATAATATTAATAATAATTTTAATAATAATATAATAATAATAATAAAAATATTAATAATA